GAAGTGTTCAAGGCCAGGCTGGATGGGGCTTTGAGCAACCTGATCTAGTGGAAGGTGTCCCTGCCCGTGGCAGGAGGGTTGGGACTAGATGACCTTTAGAGGTCCCTTCCAACCCAAACCATTCTATGATTCTATGATTATGCATTCATGTGGAAAACATGCTCCTTGATGTTATTTAAATTCCCTTTGTATTAATGTGTTACAAATGGATTGAACTTCTAAATCCGTTGATGACCAAAACGCGAACCTTCAAAATGAACAAATTAAATGAGGCAGCAATATAAATCTAAATGCAGTTCTGTTTCAAATTAAGCTTGTTCTGATCTTAGCAAGAGAATTAAAAAGTTGATTTATATCTTGACAGTCAAGTAAATATGAAAAGGCCAAGAATTCTAACAGTCTAAACTCTGTCTTCTGTAATGCTCTATCTCTGGATCTACTGAAATGAAACCAGTGCAAACTTAGACATAAAGCAGACAGGCAGATCAGTTGATTAATCTTTGTATTTGAGATACAAAGGTGGAAAAAGCCAGTTCAGAACTATCATGAGCTATTTAAGGGTCTCAAAGTCAATAAAGGTTTCAGCTTCTCCTCATTTGCTTTTGGTTAAGTGTGTCAGCATATACCGTGTTCTCACTGAAGGCAAATGTTATTATTTTTGTCTTGCAAAAAAAGGAAAGATGAAGACAGAGGATTTGTTTCCATAATGCAGAACAGAGCAAACTGTGGCAAGTCAAAATATCTCCTAAATACGCTGATTGATACTAAGCCCCATGCTCATTTGGGGGAAGTATAAACTCCAGTTCTCCAATATACAAACCTGCCACAGAAATAAATTAGTAGGTGTATCCAATTAGTAGCTGTATCTGTTAAAGAAAAAGCTGGCTGTTGAATTAGACTCAGAATAAAAGGCAATGCTTTTGTTTTCTCCTGTGATGGGCATCTTCTTTGCAATTCCTTATATTGCTGGTTTTGAGCCCCATTACTTCCCGATAAAAGCTTAAAATACACAGTATGGAAACTATGTTCTGTGTCACTATGTATACAATGAACTTACTTCAACTTGTATATATTGTCTGCCTGCGTGTGAAAAATTCTTATTTTGCAGGCACTGCAAGGATATAATGTACTCTAGAGGACAGGAGAAAATTCAGAATAATATGTAATGTGATATATTACGAAGACAAAATTCAAATAGCATTACAGTTGGCAGAGAAAGAAACAGTAAGTCTCCCTGTATTGTTTAGGAGTTTGAGATATACAATAAAGGATTCTAAAATACCTCTGTAATTGAACCCCAAAGTGACTGAGGTACAAAAGAGATTAAAGAAAGGTATTTTATTGAAGATGTTTGGGTTTTGGTTTGGTACCTTTTCAAAGTTTTATATATTGATGTAGCACAACATACTGGTCTTGGAACATGAGTCAGGCCTAGAGACGGTTGCAGTTGCAGTTGCAGTCCTGAGCAAACAGGAAATTGTCACTTGGGAAGTAATGGAGGAAACGGCATTTCCTGTGCCGGATGGGAAAGATCAATAGTACTTTGAAACAAACTGTCAAGACAGTTAGAAAACTTCCTCACCCAACCTTGTCAATGCATATAAATTCCGTCCTGCAGTGTAAAATGCAGCCTCAGTCTGAGAGGACCAGCTCTTCTCAAATGATGACATATGAGATCACAAAATCCATCTTTTTCTTCCAGTCTAAGTGCGACCTCAGGCTTGCGCAATAACTGCACTCTCACTTTAGCAAATAATTTCTTAGACTTCTATTTTTGTAAATCCACTGTGTGAGAAGGCCGAAACAGTGGAGATTACCATAAGGATCTGCAATGTAGAATTTAGAAGAGGAATGCCTTTACGCTAGTCCTCACTGTTAATTGGAATGAAATTACTCGTTTCCCTTAAAAATGTGGCCAGCAACTTGAGATTAAAACACCCACCAGCAGCCTTATATATGCAATATCCAGAAACCTGAATCAGTCGCTAAGAGGGTTTACAAGGCTATTTTAATCTGTCTCAGATGATTGAAAAAAAAACAATGGGGGTAAATTTGGTTAAACTGAAACCAACCAATCTCAAAATGAAACTGCATCATTGAGTATTGGGCTCAGGTAGGAGTAATCAGTAAGCCTACAGTCTACTTTAAAGCAAAGAAAGAGTACTACTTTGACTAATCTAACTCTGGTGGGAATTTTCTGCTGCTTTGTTTTCTTCCTATAGGGAAAGCTGTGAACTCCCTAATCTTTTCCCTTCTCTGTCCCGTAAATTTCATAACCCGTTTTTAAAAGGAGCATAGATTTCTTTTCTGAACAAGGTCCACTAGATGGCGGAAAATACTTGTGTATGCCTTTCTTACAGGCTTTCCCAGACTAGAACAGTGCTTTCATGTATTCCAAGCAACCCAAATGCCAGTTTTATACTACGAAGTAACGTGATACCTAAAAGTAAGAAAGCAGATCTTTCCTTTTAAATCCGTAAGTCCAAACAGGACTACTCATGTGTGTAAAAGTGCTCGAGTGTAAAGGCCTGATCCACTCTTTTAGAAATTGGTAGAAAGATTCCCATAGATCTCTATGAACTTTTCACCGAATCCTAAGCACCTTCAAGACAAACAGCAGGTTACGTACCATCTTTCATTTTAAATTCTTCTAAATAAGAATGGTGTCCTCTTATAAAGACTTGTTGCATTATCTGCTTTGTCTGTTATCTGTTATATACTGTTCCAGTATATAGGAAAATTCTGGGCTTCAGTGATGCGGCCACTAAGTGTAGAACAAGCCAAATCAGTTGTGATTATGAATTACATTTGGTACTGGAAAATTATTACTCAGAATAACAATTATGTGTTCTACTAACAAAGAAAAAAAAAGGGGGAATTGTTCTCGCAGTGCGAGCTAGTATGCAAGACTAAAGCATTTCAGACTATATGAATCTTTACTAAGTGAATCTTTGGTAACACGCCTTTTTTTTCTGGAGGGAAAATATCCATTGACCATAAATGAAGAGCTGATAGGGAGAATTCCAGATTCCCCAGAAGCAAGGAATTGGCTTGCTCCTAATGGCTGTTAAGAGAGAGAACAGGATAACAATAGTCCCATTCTTTTTCTCCCACTATAAGAGAGTCTGAGGGCTGAGAGAAACAAGGTGATAGAGGCTGGGTTACTGAATTATTTAAAGTATTCATTTTTTAAGAGTTAAGGGTCAGCTCATACAATACTGATATTTTGAGAATCTGTTCTCTGATATGCTGAAGCTTAGTACTTTTTACCCGCAGACAGCACCTTTTATCTGCTGCATATATGTTGGAAGACTTTGAAATACATAAATATGCAAGGTGAATTTGTATGGCAGTAGCTACTAAGACAAGAGAGTTGTTCATATAAGCTTAGGGATATAGCTATAACAAGATAATAATTCCCTCTTAATAACTAAAATCTCGAAGTTAGTGAAACCTTTCTAATAGATTGCAATGACACTATTTTAAATCAATAGTAATTCCAGCCTGTTCACAGGGGGAAAATATGTTGTAATAAATCCAGCCTGTAAAACTAAATGATAATGGCTGAAAAGAGAACTCAAAGCAGTTGCGAACACCCAACATTTGTCATTTTGCAATAATTCCCCTGGTATCTTCTTTCAGCAACTGGAAAAAAAATTTACTTTGCTGCTTTATTTTACCATGGCAAGTAGAAAAGATAGAGTAAAAAGAAATAGAAGGTAGAGGGAATGAAAGACGAAGACCCTTCTCCAGTGTTTATCCTTCAGAGGAGTCTAGATTAATCTGAACCCAGATAAATTGTATGCTGTCTACGTTGGTTGGAATAAACAAACTGGAAAAATGAAACACCGACAGTGCGAGATTAAGGAAGGAAAAGTGAAAAATTAAGAGGTGGTAAACTGAATTTACTAAAGAAAATCATAGAAAAAGACATCCTAAAAATGGTACCTGGACTGCATTTGTTCTTTGCTTCTGGAAGCCTGGGTTTGAATATCTGACCATTTTGTTAGGCCTTCTGTGGGATACACTGCCGTACTTTGCATGAACAATTATTGGCTCTTGGGGATGGGAGAACCCTTTCACAGAACTGAGTGAGCTAGAAGTCACCTTATTTAATTAGAGAGCCTTTTAGGTGGGAGCCTTTTGAACTCGCCAATTAGAGATTAAATATCGCCTTCTAATTTTGCCTAGCTTAATACCGTAATACATAAATAGCAACAGCCCCGGGGCTTAAAGAGATTGCATATAAACTTCTGTTCTGAAATCTTTAAACACTGTTTACCATTCCCAAGTTAAAAAAAAAAAAAGAAGCCTCAAGCTAAGGTGGGATACAGTTTTATGAAGCAGAAACTTTGTTGATGCTGTAGCATAAGAAAGTTTTATCAAGAAGATGCATTAGATTCAGCTCTGAAGTCAATAAAAAGAAAATCGGAGATCACTGGGTGATCACAGTGGATTGATATATATGAAATCTAAGCACCTGCAAATGCCAATAATCAGTGTACGTTATTCTGTGTGGCAGGGTGCGGGCTAAGGGAGGAGTGTTAAGTAGAACACAATCTTCTCACCACTTACTTATCCAGAAACATCCGTGTTACATTCGGAACCCTATTCTTAGCTGAAATACCTTTCTACCTGCAAGCTCCTTAAAACTGTAAATGTTGTATTTGGTCATCGTTTTATTGGCACTAGGATCTACTACCCAGAGCGTTTGCCTAGACTGCAGGAGAACTGGCTTCTGTTCCCAAATCTGTGCTCTCTCTCATTTGGGCGAAACACTTCAACTCTCCAAGCTTCTGTTCCTCCTCACACAAACCAACAATCATTCACTTTGTTTTCCTTGCAAAGGAAAAACTGCTTTTAGTGCTCCTGTACCTGGCAAAGTGAGGCAGTTTCTTGGGCAGTGACTTCAGTCCTACACAATGCAATATCTGACGTTTTGAAAAGAGCAGGGCAGTGGGGAAACTTGTCGGTATGTGCAGGCTCTAGCTTCTGCTTATTTTTATGTGATAATAAAGCTCCACCCAAGATTAGAGCCTGGTGCATACAAACACAGAGGCAGTCTGCACTGAAGATTTTATGTGATAGTCAAAGGGTGGAAGGAAGGAAGTATAATATTTCTGTTTTATACATGGGAACTGAGGCACAGAGGTTACTACGCTTTGCTCGAAGTTATACAGGAAGTCTGTGGCAGAGCCAAGAACTGAACCGAGATCAGTCATAACCGCAAGCCTGGCCTTCCTCTAAGTGCTGCTGGTTTTGTCTTGCTGGTCATGTGAGCTGAATTGGCTCCCTCAATATTGCTTCCAGTGCTCTCTATCTCTGTGTTCCCTGTGTGAGCCTGTTTTTCTTCAGAAACCTAGGGGTAAAACCTACAAATGATAGATAACAGTGACATCTGTGGAAAATGCTGCATTTTAATGAATATAATGAGGTCAAAATTCAAGCATAACTTCTTATTGAAATTATGGAGAATTCCATCTAAAACTTTATTACATGATCTGGCCTTTCTATTTTTAACCTGTCTTAAACAGATTATATGGCAGTCTTTGACATTATCACGGAATTGTCGTATCCATTCCTACTAGAAAATGAAGAGATGCCCTTGCAAATAGTCTCCATAAAATCTGTAAAAGCCAGTAGGCAATGACTTCTGTAATGCATGTGGATTAAAAGTCAGTGATTGTGCTGATATCCTTGGCTTCAGTCCAGAATTAATGAGCAATAATGGGACAGACCATAATTAAGCGTCATCTGAAGCTTTTATTTTTTGTGTGTCATGGAGTACCCTTTGGTAAGTGTTGCTGTTTTGCCATCAGAAGAAAAGACTTTAAACTACTTCTTGGTTTCTTTTGGGATACTTAAAACAGCACCAGCACCAGTTCATTCCTACGCCCCTGCCAACGCTGAGCCTGCAAGTCGCCCTCCCTGGGTAACAGATGACTCCTTTTCCCAGAAATTTGCACCCGGAAAAACCACCACCACTGTCACGAAGCACGTCCTACCAAGGGGTGCTCCAGCACCATCTCCTGCCTCAACTTCTGCTTACCCATCTCCAGTGTCAGCTTCTTCCCAGGCTCCTGCAATAGCCCGGGGAACAGTTCAGAGGGCTGAGCGTTTTCCAGCCAGCAGCCGAACTCCTCTCTGTGGGCACTGTAACAGCATAATTCGGTAAGGTCATGAGGTTTTGAAGAGGGATGAAGCAGAAAAAAAAAATCAGAGAGACTGGTTATTGTACATTAATATACAGTACCAGAGCCTAAGACTCAGTTAAATTACCCAGCAGGGATGTTGTCTGCTGTCTGCTTCATTAATTTAACATTTCCAGAGCTCATTTTGCTATTGTGTGGTTCACTTTTTATCACTGCAAAGTTATACATGCTAATTGTTTCGTGGATGCTGTGGCAAATCACTGTTTGTTTTTTAAACAAGTTTCTGGTCCTAAGGTACCCCTTGAAGGAGGTACGTACAACTTCATTGGGAGAGTTGGGGGGGGGGGTGGGATGACAAGGAACGAGACATCGTTTTGGAACAGCAGCCAATTGTAATTGTTGCTTTTGTGTCTGGAGAAAGATAATGCCTACACTCTATTACCAGTGATTCATAGCATGCCTCTCCCTTCTCCTCTCCCCATTCATTCTGCTGGACCCGTGCCCATTGTTACCCTGTGGACTGCTAACCAACTTTAAGTAATCCATGTTTAATGACAGTCTCCCCCACTAAAAGGAGCTACTTTGGTGATGTGGAACTGTTGATTATTGCCCTTTATATATTCTGAAATGGAAAGACTCCAGTAATGATCACCATATCTAATTACAATCAAGAGTAAATCACCAAAACTAATTTAACGTGTCTTCCATATAATCCAACAGCAAGTCCTCATCTGATAGTTTGACATTTCTAGAACATGCCGCATGCAGTGCCCTCTCAGATGAAAAGAAGGCAGGAGACTTCAGGAATTATTGTGAGGTGTGGGTGTGTAGGTTTGGAAATTTGCCTGCTTTTTCATGCTTTCAAATAGTAGCATTATCTTCTGTGTTACAACCCTTGGCCTTTTCCTGTTGTCTTTGCAGCTGTTTACAAAGACCACTTATAGCTATGCAGATACAAAAACGATGATTTCTCCAACAGTTGTCTGTAAATCCAATGTATATGACTAAAAAATAATGAAATATTTTAACCAATTGGCAAAGTGTTTGAGTAATGATCTTGAAAAAGACCATTTCTGTTCAGGCTTCTGGATCTTACTTTAATAGGCACCTCCATGGTTCAAGCAGAATGATTGTTGCACATGTTTGCGGTGTCTAACAAGTGGGTTTGTAGTCAGGGTCATCCAATCTTTTTGCAATACAAATAAGATAATTATGATTGTTTACAGGGGTCCTTTCCTGGTAGCCATGGGTCGCTCTTGGCACCCAGAAGAATTCAATTGTGCTTACTGCAAGACATCCTTGGCTGATATGTGCTTTGTGGAAGAGCAGAATAGTGTGTACTGTGAGCGCTGTTATGAACAGTTCTTCGCACCAACCTGTGCCAGATGCCACACTAAGATCATGGGGGTAAGAGAACAAGCTCAATCCTTTCTCCAGCTGCATGGTTCACTGAAATAGTGAAATAGTTTAGACTGTAAGCAATGGATGTAGTTATTTAATTATTTCCCCCTTTTTAATAATAATTTCCCAGCCTGTTGAATATTTCAGAATGAAAAACATATTATTGTATAATAATTTTTATCTATCCGAAGTCTTGGATATTTCTGTACCTTATTCAACTCATAGACAGAATATGTAACCCAATTACCGTCTCACTGAATATAAAGTAAGTAACACTTTCTGGATAGTTCTTTGCTATTTGATACACACTAAGTTACTTTCATTTATCTTTTCCTTATATGTAGAGTCTTGAACTGTGTTTTTTGGTTTTTTTTCTCTTATACAGCACTTAGTCTAAATTTCAATGGAGAAGTCGGTGATCTTGGGAAGAGGCCCATTGCTCTTGTTGCACCTCACTGGTAGCTCGCAACATAGCTGCCAAGGGGAATTCTGCTGACTTCTTACAGTTCAGAAAATACAGAATAAATACAAAGATCTGAATACCAGAAAGGCAAAAAATAGATGCCACTTTTGTCTTAATGTACTCATGCTTAGGTACAAGTAAATTTGCTCTACATATACCTTAGATGGTGATGAGGTTTAGCAGCGTATTTATGCGTGCAGTTACAGTGAATATATGACACGGTTCTCTTAAATGAGGAAGCAAGGAGTACCACGCTGTTTTTTCACTGCTTAGCTGTCACCTTTTGACATCTGTCTAAATGTTGGCATTGACAGACTAGGTGCTTTTCTCTGCAATTGCCAATTAGGGGTGGCAGCATCAGACATCTATGGTGAAGTTCTGGCTCCAACCAAGTCTTGTTTGCTACTGCAGCAGTAGGGATAATTTTATAGCGGAGTACTGACTTAACTTACCTAATTAATGCTGGCACAAATCAGTTCCCCATTATGGATTTTCATCACGAAAATAGCAAAGATGCCAGCTGCCTCTATTTATATTAATAAGATTTCTCAATCCGTTTTTTGCTTCTTAGCTCAGTGAGGTTCATAAATGGATCCAAACCTATTTATCAGTGATAGTTGTTTTGCAAACAGTAACAGCAGTTAATGAATCTCAAATGGTGATTCTCTAATGAGATATACAGCAAACATAAATTAGACTATTTTGTCTATTCACTGGATTGAAAGCATGCAAGAGGACTTCAATCCCTTTTGTCATAGTCAATAAAGTTTAAGAATAATCTTTAAAAGAGAATCAGAGTCTATGTGTATAATTGGAAGCAACACAAAATAGGATCTAGGTTCTCAGCTGGTGTAAATCAAGCCTGTTTCACTGAAGTTAACAAAGTTAAATTAATTTACACCAGTTACGCAGCTGGCCCTTTGAAATCTGGACTGTTTGACAGAGAAACACTGTCAAACACCGTCTTGGGCACAACTAAGACTGACAAACTAGCAGGTAACCACGCATCAGAGCTCAGTACAGCAGCTTTTGGACTTAGAGGACTTCTGTATGACAAGATAAGAATAAAGCAGTAATAGAGATTGCTCCATACTGGATAGAAGAAAGAAGTGATAAAATCTGGATACTCAGTTCAAGAGAACATCAGTTGCACAGAATTTGGTTTTTGTGATGAACACATGGCCTAGGAACAGACACGCAGACTCATTTTCACTAATCACATAAGTTAAAATCTAAGAAGCTTTTTTTTTTTTTTTAGATTTTCACATTAGTTTGTGAAGCATTCTTGTGAGAAGCTTAAAGAAGTTAGTACATAATCCAAGTTGCTTTGAAACATCAGACTTAAATCACTTATCCCCTGCATGCATTTCTTGGTCCTAGAGAGAAAATTACTCTTTAAAATTTATTTAACAAATCATACTTTTGCATCGAAGAGTTCATACTAGTTGTGTCAAAACAAAGGAGAAAATAATCAGAATCTTTGTGCAGAATCTCTCCTGCAACAGCGACTGGGCATGTTGATACAAACAGCTGGCTGAACTATGTTGTTTCACTTTGGCAAATACATTGTTCTAGAAAGTTTGCGGTCCTATTTCCTCTTTCTTTCCCAAGGAGCCCCATTTCTGTCATGCTTCTTTCTTTTGAGGAGGGGAATTGGCTGATACAGAAGGGAAAAATTCAGAGCATCTCTGCCTTGTATTTTTCTCCAGTAGGTAGTTGCGGGGCACGCTGTTCTGCTGGAGATTTTTGTTTGTTTGTTTTACAGGAAGTGATGCATGCCCTAAGACAGACTTGGCACACAAGTTGCTTTGTCTGTGCTGCTTGTAAGAAGCCGTTTGGGAACAGCCTCTTTCACATGGAGGATGGGGAGCCTTACTGTGAGAAAGGTATGGCAAACTGGACAGGTCTGCTCGGTAATCGTGTGCTGCTTCTTGTATGGAAGCAACATAAGAATAAAGCAGCTGATGAACAAAATGAAATCAGTTACCCATCCAGCATGGATTTTGTTTCCACTCTCCACATATATAAGTGTTTCCCTCTCTGTATTTTTTCTCCACTTTATATGACAGACTGGCAGAGCGCTGGTCTTCTGCCTCTATGTCCCAGAATGCCTTACCTCATTTCTCTCCCTTACGTATTGTGATATTTACCTTCCAGTTCTCTCCCTACGCTTTTTTCCCTGTCCTCCTCCCTTCCCTGGTAGATTTTGCTCACTAGAAATCTACACGTTATGGGGTGAAAAATTCTTCTTTTAGGGTTCTGGTTGCACTTCTGTACAGTATGTGTGGGTTGCTGCCCACATTCTCTCTACTCAGTTGCTTGAATTATGACCTCTGATACTGATGCCTCACCCCAGAACTGATCAACCGCCATGTATGAAAAGATAGCTCTGCTCAGATGTGCAACACGTGGTAGTGCAGATTTTGTTTTCTGAGTGCTGCAACAAATGAACTGCTTCTTGCCAACTAAGAAAGGAAAAGGCCAGGTTTTCCCCGACTATGGAAAGGGTAAGATGGTTTAATAAGTAGTGCTTGCCATGCAAATGAGTTGCCTGACGTGGTCAGGAAGCAGGCTGAGGTTTAAGTGGTATTCCCTCTGTAAGCCCTGCCTTACCCATTTAATGAGCTTCTGGCCTACTTCTCTCTGGAGGTTCCTTCCTTATGGTTGCGCAAATCAAATTTTGCAAATCAGAGTAACTCTTGGTGAAGAATGAAAACCATACAGCATGACTGACTTGGCACCTACCCTTTAAAATTCGTTTTGCCATACCCTTTAATGACTCTCACAAATTCCATATACCTTTAGAATTTCTGCTAATCTTTTTCAGTGTCAAGTCTTTCCAAATTGCACTTGATATTCAAAGTAAGGCTATATTAACCAGCCAGTATGGGGTTTCCATAATATTCTTTCTTAATGCAAAGAGAACATAAATCCAGTCATGGAAACTTAAACTATGCTTCTGTACCACCCTTACGGTAACACTCACTGGCCATTAGATTGTGTTTTGTATGACCATATTTGTCCTTATGAATAGCTTCCACATACATTAAAGCTAATTTAAAACTAATGTGAGAAACAGAACTTCAAATTTCATGAATTTTTTGTTTGTTTTCTATGTTTGTGATGACAACTGTCGTGCTGACATGGGGTTTTGCACTGAGTTCATATTTAAATAATGAAGGAAAAGAAGCAAATTTCAGTGTGTGTTTCAGTGGCTGTAGTAGGAAACTGAGCAAAAACAATAAAAAATTCATCCTCTGGAAACTTTCTATTTCTCTTGGATTTAATACGATTACGTTAAGAGTTTGTTCTAAGTTTGCTTTTTGTTTTATTTTAGATTATATTGCTTTGTTCAGCACAAAATGCCATGGCTGTGATTTTCCTGTTGAAGCTGGAGATAAATTCATTGAAGCTCTCGGACACACTTGGCATGATACCTGCTTCATTTGTGCTGTAGGTTCTATACCAAATACTGTCTCACTCCTTTATACTCATAAATTGTGAAGTAACATCAGAAGGCTTGAAAGCA